GTTCTGCTAACCTATAAGACGTTTACTAATACGCAAGTGACAGCCGATTTTTCGTTGCGTGCTATTCGGGTTGTATCGGACAGATGAGTTGCTGGTTGTATCGGACAACTTGTACGATTAATAAAATTTAAATTCTCACACCTTTTTTAGCAATCTTTTTTATAAATGTGATGCTTGTACCAGAAAAAAAGTAAATAAGACGTAGTTTTTATTTTTTGTTATTTTTTATGGAACGAAATGTAAATTTTCAAAGACTGTTTATTTTATTTACTTTTTACATTAAAAAATGTTTATTTTTATTTATTGACTTATGTTATACTTACATAATAATATAAAATAATAATATACAATAAAATCTATATATATATATATATATATATAATATAATTTATATGATACAACCCTCCACAAAAAAACATGACAAAAATATAGTGCCTATAAAAAGTATAAAAAACCGATAGATATTTTTATTTTAGAAAAATGAGTTTCAAGAGATGTTTTGGTATAAGAATAAAGTTTTTTATGGAACGTAGTATATTTAAATTTAGCTATTTAAAAAAAAATTATTTGTGAAAAAGCTTAGGTGTCCGATACTATACGACTTTCCCCTATTTTCTTTTAAATCTTGTAAAATAACTTATTACAAAAAATATTATCTCAGAGAGAATTTGAATCTGAATCTCCTTGCTATCCGAGCGAGTATTTTATGTTTGACTTATCGAGGCGTGAGGTAATATTCATCGCAATAATCAGTAAATTTAGAAAAAAAATTTTTTTTCAAGCGTGTAGACAAACATTAGTATCAAAATGAGATATACTCTTTCTTCTTTCTTTTCGTTAAAAAAATTTTTTTTTCGTAATTGTTTCTTCTCGCCAAAATTTAGAGGGAGAGGACAAGTAAAAATGTGCGAATCAAGCATTTGCATGGTCGAATCGAATTAAATTGAATTTTTGATAACAATTCGAAATCGAATCAAATCTCTTCGAATACGAATCGAATCTGAATTAATTTTTTCTAGATTTAAATTACATGTTAATTTAAACAGAATAAATATTAAAATTTATGATTTACATCATTTTACGCAATGATTTAAACAAACTGAAGACCTGTTTTCAATTTACATCTCATTACAAAGACTCATATCTTATGTGACATTTTGAACTAGAAAATATGTAATTATTAATATGTATATACACGAATAGTTGGAATGCTTTCGAATATTTTATTAATTTATATGAATACATTATATACTTCAAAAATTATTAGATAAGAATAATTGGTCGAAACAAATAAAATCGGCGATTGATTCGAAATTCTCAAACTATTATTTCGATTTCGAATCTTCAGATTCAAAAAAGAACTCGAATCGATTCCACTGTGTTCAATTCGAACTATTCGCACTTCTCTAAGCAAGTGCCTCTTTCTTCCTCCTTTCCTTATGCCCACAAATCGCTTGCGCCTATATACCTGAGTAAAATTTTTAGTTAGAATATTTTTATTCCACAGCGTTTGAATTTTCGCTGTATGTTTATCAAATCCGATATCAAGTTTCACTTATGAATAATAAGTTTCAAAGATTGTAATTCTGCACATACGGAATTGCAGAGAGAAATGAAGGAAGCTTATGATTGCAGGTAGAGCAAGGACGAATAGGAGTGGCGACGATCTATCTGGGCGGCGGAGTCTGTGGTGCTCTGGGAGCGTCGCTTCTACAACCTAGTCTTTACCTGGTCGGCGCATCGGCAGGTGTTTACGCGCTGCTCACGAGCCATCTTGCTCATCTCTACCTGGTAAGCGAGAGAAAAAGTTTCTCAATCTCTAAGAAACGGGAGTCGGACGATGTAAACCGACCCCTCAACAACCCCTCGCTCTCTGAAAAGTCTGCGCAACGTTGCGTGTCGCAGTATCAAAAAGGAACGCGAGGGAAAAAAGAGAGGAAGACTACAAAAGATGCTGCACTAAAACTAGACGCTGCGCGCTATCGCGCAGGAATGTTTCCGCTTGAAATATTCTCGCGAAGGAATCTTATTTAAAGTGAATAACGGACTCTCTGTTCGCGGGGAGTGACGATAATAAAAAATCCTCGAGTCAAACACAGTAATCAATTTATTGCGTATTATCTTTGTATGATTAAATACGTATATATTTTCAATTATGTTAATAATGAAAGGTATATATAAGGTATTGTTCAATTTGTTATTTATTCAGTGCACCTCAAAAATAATGTTAAATTCACAAATTAGATTTTCATATTTCTATATTTAACGCGTAATCAAGCCTTTTCGTTTGCATCTTGACTCTTATGTCCATTTCTACCAATGTAGATTAACTTTAATCTCGAGTCAACTTACTTTTTATTTTCTTTTAGTTCTAGAAATTAAAAAGAAGTAAAGAGTAAATTAAACCGAGATTAAAGTTAATCTACATTGAAAGAGATGAGCTTTAGTGGTGGAAAAGCCGATCGCGTATAAGCGTTTCCGTGCATCGTTTTGCTTCTCGTTCGTTGCAGTGTCACGGCGAGTTGCGCTACGCCGGCTGGCGTCTCGGTGCCGTGTTGCTGCTGGCCGGTGCGGACGTCGCGTCGCTGCCCATCCCTGCGTTGCTCGGATGCGGTCGGGTCGGTTGGGCGGCGCATGTTGCGGGCGCGCTGGCGGGTCCGCTTCTGGGTCTGGCTGTGTTCCCGAATCAGAGCAAGAAGGACGCCCGGGGCCGCAGATTCGTGCGATACGTGCGGCTGCTGTCGGCCGTGAGCGTGATGCTGCTCATCGTCGGCGCCATCCTCGGCAACGTCTACCTGATCGCCCTGCCGCAGCTCAGGAAGCCATCCTGACAGAGGATCGAGATGCTCGTCAAGCTCTGCAGACGGTCCTTCCTGATCGTGAAGATCCGGGAGGCCGCCGAGGGCGTGTTCGAGTAGGCCCGCCGTGCAAACTCGCGGGATCCGACCGATCATCGATCGCGTCGTAACTGCCAGTGGACTTTTCCACTCTTCAGAGCTTCAGATCTCACGTGAATCTCGTGCAATCCAGTCTCAATCATCCATTAGACACACGAGAAGCATTCACGCCAAAATGACACGCGATCGTGATTATTAGGCAATCCGTGCGAAAATTTTTACATTTTACTCCAGGGGAAGATCGTGTGATCGGTACGCTGATCGAGACGCTTGTGAAGAAACTTGGGCGAGCTCAGTGAAGTCAGTAGGAGGAAACACCAAAGATCGACGACTCGTCAAATTTGTTTGTGCTATTCGCTGCCACTAGAATCTTTAGGATTTCGAGGACATTAGACGGAGTATGCGAATAGAATCATGGAAGTACTGGAGAAGTGACTCTTTGCGCCTGATACTTTGATAAATTTGATATTATGAATATTGGTGAACGTCGCGACTTTTTCTACGGACAGGTAAGACGTTTCAAACTGCCAACCGCAACCCTACCTGCCGATAGGATCGGGTTGTACATGTAACATTTAATAACACGCATTTGTGCAATGCTTTTTCTCGTTATATCGATCTCGGTATATCTATGGGCGAACAAGATAAAAAACTATACAAAAGTGTGACATGTGTGTGTAATAAAAGTGAGAAAAATTTCTCCCGTAAAACGATGTATGAAGCTGAAGCTGATATACATTGATGGTACACGTAAGTCTGTCCAACAATGGCGAACGATTATTGTAGAATGTGAGAAGTAATTTATTTAAATAAATGCAGGGGATAGAAGCTATTGTTATGGCTCGCGTGCTAAAAATCGCAATTTCGAGTACGTTAAACTAGTATGTCGCAATGTTGAGGACACACAATGGGATACTTTCATTCTTTCAATTATTCATATTAACAATTATAGCGTGTATGAAGATGTATAAAAAAATAAAGCGATCATATTACTAAGGTAATCGTGTTATGATATAACGGAAATTTTATTAATGGCAAGATAAATGTATCGATCGTTAATAAAGCAAAGTTTAACAACGGTGCGATTGATCTCGAACTGCGAAACTGTAAACTCTCCGTACAAAGCAATTCGCTGTTGTAGAAATAACATCATAATCTCGAATCATCTTTTGACGTTATCAACTATAATTGTAGAGCGAGAACGGTAACGGAATTAGGAGTCCAAATTGAATTCCTTTCACGTTTAAGCCAGAGTCCTGCCATGTTTTCCAATAAGTGTGCAAGAGAAGAGATCTTTTATAGCGTAATCATAACATAAAAATAATCGCGTTTCTATTTACGAAGCTGTAAGACTTGCGAAATATTTATAGCGTAGCACGTAGCGTCTTTAATCACGATGTGCAGTGTTTGTTAAGAGAGTTCGTGTACGTACAGATTTGGAGGCGTTCATCAATTTTCGACCGTGTTGTTTCTCCCCGCTTCAATTTATCATAGCCAAATTACAATCGACGCCACGAGATGCGTCAAACGGTAACATAAATTATCGTTATTACAGCTTGAATTAACAGCTCGGTTAAACTTGTGCTCGTCAGAATTCTCCGATAAATAATTAGACGCGAAGGTAAGGAAGTGCTTGGGTTAACGAACGCTAGCCTGCTTCACGAAATTGGTATCTATAAGGCCCATTTTTTAATAATATATGGTTAACGGAAAAGTTAAGTTAACTAAAACTTGAAAGTTAATTAAAACACCCTTTCATAAGCTTATAATCAAATAAACTAAAGGTTACGTGCACATGAGTTGAGTTGGCAAGTTAACTTGATGGTTAAGTTCTAATCAAATGTTGTTAAACAATAAACTTCTTGGTAATTTTTAATCTTTAGGTAGTCATACATTGTGAAAATGGGCCTAAGCGATTTAATCCTAGATATACATACTGGAGTCCCCGGGACTGCTTGCAGTTTTGTTAAAAAATTGAAATATCGGATCGCCAAATTTTTTTGTTACTATTTCAAATATGCCTTTTTAGAATTTTCAAGGATTTTTCAAATCGGTCTATAAACAAAAGAGATATGATTTTTTGAAAAAGGTGCTAAATCGAGATTTTTTCGCGTTTTTAAACTTTCCTTTTTCTTTGAACCCGAATATCTTGAAGCTCCTTAATTCTATCGGCTTTTAAACAATTGTTCCTTGGTCGATTCTCTATTGATTGAAAAAAAAATTAATTGAAATATGTCCATTTTTACTAAAGTTATAGTAATAAATATGAGTGGGGTCCCCAGTGTGTATACGACGTCGTCATAAAAACTGTGTATACCTAGGGTTAACCGATAGCTTTTACTTGATTTGAATATAGACTTTAATCATTTTTTAAAGTTTGTTGATAATTCTGAGGAGCCATTAAGAAAGTTACGGTCAAAGATGCGCGGTCGAAGAAGATATTAGTGCCGAAATAAATTATAATCGCGCGTTTATATACGCAAGCATGTAATGATATAGATTATATATAGAGCGTAATGCCATATGCGAGAAAAGTAATGTGTTCTCCCGGACAGTTAATCGTATACTCGTATACCTTACTTGTTTATCAATGTTACATGAGACGAACTGGCTGTGATTATGTTAGTGTTATCGTCGACATGATTACACATTACTGAAGAAAAATCTTGTAAATATAAATTATTGAATATAAATATATATAATTACACACACTATACACACGTACTGTGATTTCGCCGCGAGTGTATAACGAGACTCCCGTTATCTCCATTATTATATCGAAACGATCGATTACTTGCAATAAAATTCAAGCGAATCGAATATGACGTTTTACAAACTGACGCAACCCGCTCTCTCTCTATCTCGAATCCATCCAACTATCCTGCTCTCCGTATTCGCATTATTAACTGTTACCATTCCATATCCATCATTATTATTTCATTGAATATCGAGAACATTGATATTTTGCAGATTAGAGTTAATTAGGTTTGCAATTAACTCTTCGCATTAATTTCGATTAAATGAGCCATCTCTTTTATTGGACATTCATTTTCCCGAACAATTTCCGCGCGATGTGTATTGATTACATTATTTTAATAACATTATCGTTGCATATATTTTGTATTTTACGTATTAAAATAATTTCCATGAAAATTTTTGATATTATTACGAATAATGATTCCGCCAGAAAAACTAAAAAAAATTAGTGCTTTATTGGATAGAATTGATTAAAAAGGGCAATTAAGCAGCTTTGTGAAAATTAATTTTATTGGAAATATATAAACGTATTATTTTCCGCTATTTTCTACAAAAGAAAGAGAAATGAGAAAAAGAAGATGAAGCGCAAGAAAGTAAAGGTAAGAATTTATTACGAATATATTATATATATAATATAAGCCTCTATGTGCGGCATTTAAAGCAAAGCCCGTCAATTTTAAAATTAATTTAATATTTAATCTATATCAACAAACATAACCATGGGTTTTTTTCCAAAAAACTAGTTTTCATTATTATTTATTCATTTACTATTTACAATATTATATATTTATTCAAATATAAAGAATTATCTTTACTTTATTAAAGCTTTATTTATTTATCGGCATGTACAATCTGTTCCACAAGAGCATACGGATCATAATTCTGTTAACAGATGTCGTATGAGTAAAATTTTTATATGTTAATATTTGCAATACATTAGGCTAAAATGTTTTGAAAGTTATACATTTAATCATTTCAGTTCGGTTTAATTATTGTGTTATAACTGGATAAAACACAATAAAAACAGGATACATAAAATGGCATTTTTGCAAAACACTGATTTTCACAATCTCTTCATGTTAATGCGATTGAAAATGTATGGATTACTATAAAAATCTAGATGAAGAAAAAACGTGTCTTCACTCTGAAGAAATTATTGTATCAATTATGTTCGATTTAGAAGTCATGATCTAGAGTTTCCAAGATTTTTTACAAAAAACTTTGTAAAAATGCCTCAATATTTCCAAGCCTTAATCGACAATGGAGGGAACTAGATGACGTATTAAATATTACAAATGCATCGAAGCGTATATAATATACTTGAAAAATCATATAATTATTTTTCAAAAATCTTCTTTCTCAAGAGAAACAGACCGTACACTCTTGTGGAATAGACTGTAATTCGTGGTCTTTCTGCCTGTATAAATGTATAAGAGTATTGAAGATTGTAAACGCTAAAAAAAATGTAACGTATAAAAATGAAAACACTCTGAAGATTTAATAATACAACGTTTTATAAATCACAACAAAGCATTCTTATAACTCTCAATATAGTATATCAGTTATAGCATAATAAAGATGTGAATATTTATTTATGTCGTGATGTATACTTAATACTTTTAATTTACCCTTAAATTTAACAATAGCATCGATTCAATAAATAATGCTTAAAAATAATGAATAATATTAATTGAATCGACGTTATGATTTATAAAATTATTTTAGCACCATTGACAACAATGTTCGTTGACTGATTTTGGATCCTGCCTATGTCTAGCGATAGTGAGATTTAATATATTTTAATGGAATTTAATTTTAATCAATAATGCTATTGAGATCGTTATTATAACTTAAGAGTTAAAGACGTAAAATGTACCTTGTTATTCATATTACATGACACAACATTTATTTAGAAAATTGGCAAAATTGTGAAAATCTCCATAAGGCAGTTCTTCCAAATCATCGTCAAATAACTTTTTTTCCAATCAGAATTGAAATATCGATTTATGTCAGAAAAAGATGAAAGATTATTCAATACTTGAAGTTCAGTTCATGTGAATTATTTCTTTTTCAACAATTTAATTTTGTATAAATATTTATAAATCACACATAATAACTGACTACCTATTATGTATGCTACAAACTTAATTCAACTGCTTGCAATAAAATTCGAGTGAACAAACATTCGTGACAAACTGCATGATGCAATCATCCGCTATCTCGAATTTTCCCAAACTATCCTTCTCTCTGTATTTGCACTAAAAGATGTGTAATTTAGCGGGATAATTTAAATTTTGCAAGAGCGTTACGTCTTTACTGAATGATTATTTTCCCTCTTTTTCTTTCCTTATTTTCTTTACTTTATCGCAGTATTCCAACCTGATATCTTTTGCATTCGGTCTGGAGAGATAAATTACGAAGATAAATCAAAACGGCACCCTCGTCTCCCCACCCCGCCGCGCCGGTATAGACGGATAATTCCCATTAAAGAGGAAAGGCGGTCGTGGTGAGCGAATACCGCGCTAACTTCCGCCTTCATCCACTTATCCTTCGAAGCACGGAAGGACTATTCCTCACAATTACATCCTGATCGATCCCGCCGTGGACGTGGATTCTCCTAAGGCCCGCGTTTATGACCGCCGCGCGACGTTCTAGGAATAATGCTCGCCGATACAGAGCGAGGGGAAAACGACGAGACACGAAAGAAATTAGAAGGAGGAAATCTGGAAATCCCGGGATAAGACAGGAGACGATAATCGCGGGGAATTATAAGACGGATTATACGGGCGATACCTCTAATCGGAAGAAAGGTCAATTATTCAGATAGAAAAAACGGAAGAGCGTCAAACTGCCATTAATCTTCAACTGATAAAAAATCACGGCGAATATTAGAGAGAGAGAGTCTTCCGTATAATAAGTAATCTTTTTTTTTTACTACCTCTGAAAAATGCGGAAAACGCTCAGAAAAAAGCAAAAATTATTAAAGATCTCTTTTCGACTTTTTGTACTTTTTTTTTAAACCGCAGATATTAATTTGCCATTCTTTAGATACATGTTTTGTCTCGTATAAGAGGAGGAAGATCGAGAGATGTTTATGAAGAAAATTAATCTGTGAGACATCCAAACAATTAAGGATTTGGCGTTTAAGTTCCGCCAGTTTACATAAATCCGCTTGTAATGCAACCGTATTTGAGGGGAAAACTTAGAGACAATCCATAATGATGCGACTAACGCGATACAACCCGGGCGCAGATATTACATCCAGTTAGTGTAATCTGACCACGAACGTCGGTGTCTCGTTATCGAGGGTCATCGAGACTGAGTCTATCGGTTTTGCTTGGATAATTACGTGGTCCAAGTTGTCCAAAGTTCTGACCGAAGATTCATCGCTCCACCAAGATGTCTTAGCGATACAACAACGAGCTGTCTTGGTAGTTTCAGAGATTCGTAGTTTCAACCAGCATCTAACTAAGCATTGAAAGTAAAATAGTAATATCAAATTTTGTGTTGTCATAGTAAATCCAAGCATCCACAATTATAAATTCTATCATGTTCTTCGTATAAATGAATAGCTAATAAGAAATTTTTAGAAATTAATTTTCTATAGAATTTGATTTCTATAAAATTTAAAGGTATTTAAAGATAAATGCTAGGGTAATTATACATTTAAGTGCTAGGGTAATTATTCATCATGATAAGATCAGTGATTGCTACTTAAATCTGTAAAATTCACGATGGTAAAAAAAATCTACGATTTAAAAATTTTCAAACTTTAAAATCTTGTTCGCATTACGAAGTTCAAATCTGAATATCGTTCCTATTTTATAGAAATGTTCCATTTTTTCTTGCACAACTAATTCCAGAAGAATTCAAAAACATTTTAAAAAGTTTCATCAATTAAAGAAGTTTTATTTTTGTAAATTTTATGTAGAATTTAAAATTAAATGAGAGGTAAATTTAAAAGATGATGACCAAATTATAAACAACTTTTTTATCCTTTCTCAAACAACGTGTATGCACTTTTAATTTTCTCAACAGAAACAGTCTTATTTTATTGATGTTTAAACGTTCGCGAGACATTTTCTTTTTACGAGCGAATCGATTGTTCGATTAACATTCCAACTGTTCGCACCGGACACCAATTTCCGTGCACCTGCATTCCTCACAGGGACTCGAGAGCTCCGTGATAATTCTGCCGACGCGATACATTCGCCCGTATATATTGCAACCCGCCAGCTTCAGCAAACTGCCCACGGACATTGGTATCTCGTTGTCGAGAACCTTTGAGGACGACGTCTCGACAGTTTCCGTCTCCTCGGTTAACCTTTCCGCACTCGTCGATGAAACGACGAGAATCTCCTGATTCACTCGTACAGCGCTGACGGAGGAGACATTCGACGTCTCCGTGGTTTCGATCAGTTTGTCGCTGAAACTTGTGTTCGAGGAAAATAGCAGCTTAAGAACACTGTCCAAAGAAAAGATGGTGACGTCCTCGGAAGCGTTCTCCGCGGTGGTCTTTCCATCTTCACTTGGGAAATTATCCGACCCGGTGCGATTGTCGTATCTCGTGGTACGATTGTCCTCTTCGCCGGTGAAGTTTCTATCGAGATCCTCAGTCTCGGATACATTTCCCTTCATGAACTTCTGCTCCGTAGTGGTATTGCTCCGACGGAGATCGTACTTCGAACTGTCGGTTGTGCGATTTGACTCGATCAACGCCGTTCCGTTGTAATCGAAGACGTCTGTCTCGGGATTTTCGGGGGGTTTGTGATCCACCACTTGATTCTTCGAATCGTACGTTAACGAGACGGTGTCTATTGAAGATGCCTCACGGTTCACTCCGTACTTCGCCAACAAAGAGGAGGAGTCGATGGTTTCTTCTCCGTAATCGAAGGGCGGTTGTATCAGTGGCACCTGCTCCATGAAATCAAAGTTCGACGGGTGTTGCAATTGATTGCCTATCAAGCCTTGAGCTGAAGTCTTCGAAGCCGACGTCATGGACGTCGTTGGCCTGAGCGTTGTGATGCCGCGCTCAACCAGATATGGCATCATGTCTTCGATCAGAGAAGGCAAGTCCGGGGCTGGCTCGGTCTTGATAACGTCGCGAAACGGATCCGGGGACACTGTGGGCTGTCGTTGAGACGGTGCCGTGGCGTCGGCGCGGTCAAGCACCACCGTTGGCGATTCGTCGGCTTCGACTATATAAGATAAAACCGATAAGATGCGTTATAAACATAAAAATGTGCACACGTGTCTTGAGCGCTCGTATATATAACATTTCTAATAAAATCTTACGATTATTTATTACGACAATTATGAAACATACCACAAACGATTTTTCCGCAACACTTCTCCTCGGAATTGATTCTACGACAGCCAATTTTCAATGGCGGACACTTTTCTGAGGAACAGACGACTTCTCCGTAATAACACATGCAGATTATGCAATAAGCGGCACGTGGCAAGATCTCACCGTGGCGGTATTCCATATCTTCAAAATGGCACTTATTCGATAAATCTAGTTTGACAAAACAATTCAATTACGATTATATTGCTTCTACTGTTTAATCTATTAGATTTTTTTTAGATTAGTAATTAACCGAGAGTATATATACCGTTATTCTTTTGCGGATTCGTGATTTGTGGAACTACAGTAACTCCAGTACCGATCTCAAGATTTAAGTCTGTTGAGCGAAAAGGAACATCGAAGTATGATGGCTCTCTAGGTACAAAACCACCTACGAACAAAGATCTATTACTTATTATTTACATTAAAAATATTATTAGTGCGATAATATAATTATTATTAAAATTGATTAATCTTATTAAAATAACAAAATAATATAACATCCAATTTTTAATTCAATTACACGATACAATAAATATATTAAAAAATACGCGGTCTAGAAGAAAAAGAACTAAAAATTGTTTTTAATACATATAGGTATTTAGCTCGTTTTTATAAGATCTTTATTTGTGCATCTTTGCGTCTAGGCTATTCATTTGACTTCTTATAGAGAATCATGAAATACCTTCGGTCTCTACGGGCGGGCTAAATCGGTTCTCCTGGGTTGCAATATCATAAAAGCCGGAAGCATCGGTCGGTCGTAGTTTAGGAGGCACTACAACTGAACCAGGAGGATATCCAGTCTCAGATGAGGATACATCCTTGCCTTTCACCAACGCGTCTGCTGCCACAAAGGGTATTATCCTACAATAGCAAAATTTATACTTTTTCTGTTGATATACATAGCTACAAAACAAAAACAACTCGTAATAGTTTTAATAAAATTTTTAAAAAATTATTGTTTTATATGTACATACACATATATAATCTTATTTACATTATAAAAAATTAAAAAAAAAGGTAATAGAATTTTAAGAAATAAGACTAATTCTTTAGGATTATGTATCTTTTTTTTCAAATTATAATTGTGCACAAAAATGTATCTTAAATAAATTTTCTTTAGAAAGAATACAACATAAAAAAGCGCTGTGCATTTTCTGCCGTTAGAAATGTAACCGACGTAAATCGGTATCAATCAGTTGTTTTCGACAAACGATTTCAATTTAATTCATGGCAGTATTCCCTGGCCAACAAAACTCGCAAAAAAAACGGTTCCGTTATAAGCGTGAAAAATTGATTGCACATCGTGCCGGCTAATAAAAAGAAATAAAACGCGCTATATCGATTACATCGACTGCGCAACGTTGCACCTGCCGATACTTTTATGCATTCTAAAAATACACACAATTATGAAATTTGTAAAAAAAAAACCATTTACATGCTCCCTTCGTACTTCCCACGAGCGGAAGTTGTCAAATCACAGAACGGAATAGAAGACGATGATGGATCGAGATATGATAATAGTCACCTAACGTTCGGCAACGACGGCGGCAGAAGTTGTTCGTTGTAGTCGTACTCATAATCCTCGTCTTTTTCTCGATGAGTGATGTTCAGGATGGCCTCAATGTCAGGTGGAATAGACCTAATTGGATTTATCGTGACACCTTGTATATGGCCCACCGAGACATTCGTCTTGACTGTCACGTTCATCACGAGGATGTCGTCCGGCATGAGTATCGTTGACGATGGACTAGTGACGGGTCTCTTGCCGATGGTCTCCGTCCTCTATGTCACACGTGTTTAATCATAATTTACCTACTCTTTTTTATGACAGTAAACTTTGCGCATCGAATATATTTTATATTTAACAAATATAAAATATGAATAACAAAGCAAAATAAGTTTGCGACTAAATTCCTAAATTTAGGTTCCGTTTCCAGATTTGTTTAAAAATAGGAAAGAAATTTAAATTTTAAAATTTCTTAAGATTATAAAACTAATTTAAAAAAATGTTCACTTTAAATTTACTTTGTAAAGTAAGTTATAAATTTATTGAAATCTGCACTATTTTTTATGTTAATTTTAAGAGAAAAATGTCTCATTTTTATTTATTATTTTCCCTCATAATCCTGAATGTTCCTTTATTATTGAACAAAACACTTTATAAAAAGAAATTAAGATAATCTCGTTAAAATTTCGAAAATTCTCAGATAATTATATAATCAGAAATAATTAATAACAGTATTTAGTATAAAACTACATTGCATACCAAATAATTAGATTTTACAAAAATCTGTGATTGTTTCTTGACTTTTAAGAAACTATCTCATTAATGTTATTTCGAAAAATTTTATTATTAACATTATTGTTACCTTAACGTGTGTAGAGTTCTTGAACAATTTCTCGTCGGGAATAAGCATTTTCCCGGCATCTGTGGAAACTACGAAAGGATGCACCGTAGCTTTGTTTTTCTCAATTATATCCGCTTTCTCCCCCATCGTCGCCCCTGTCTCCGTAGCCTCGTCTTCGTTCCGTTCCACGTTTTCACTCGCGTTTTTGTCTCCGTCCCCGCCGGCATTCTTGTTTTCATCGTTTCCATTATCGAGCGCTAATTCGGGAAGCATCATCGTCCATTCCAACAACGAGATCGTCGAGCTATCCGTGCTAGATGAATCCTCCGTCGTCATGATCGTGGACATGTCCGTGAACGTGTTCGTTAAGCACATCGTGCAGGAACCAGTGGCGGAATCAGCGTCTTTGGTGGACGCTAGTGTCGACTCGAATGATATCGATTCAGTGTTACTGGATAACTGGCCAACGAAGACAAATAATCGTTAACGTCGGATTGATTTATGATCGAATGTACATATATACTTCCGTGAATTGAAGAAAACAGTAACGCATTAAAGCGATAAAAAAAGTTGCACTCCGACAAATTGCAGTGTTTTTATTGAGACTAATAGAAGAATATATCTGATTTAATATTTGTTTCGTTTCACCATGTTATCTAAAATTATTTTAAAAATATTTGTATTACATACGTCGACATCAACAATTCCAATTATATTTTTACATCTGAATTAGCACTCAATAAACATCAAGTAATATGTAACGTACCTGTTAGTTCCCACTCAACAATGTAATTATAATGTAACACATGTGTTATATTATAGTTATTGTCGAATGGAAAATTACAACAGGTACATTACATGTTACTTGGCGTTTGTTGGGCAATGTATACATCTATCAATTTAAGCATAAATTAAACGTGGATTAAAGAGCAATTTAAGAACATAAATATACGTATTTGCACACCCCTCACATTCGAAAAATGTTTTTAAATTACGAGTTGTAATTTTTATAAATAGATTAACGGAAAAGGCTTTTGTTACGCGAATTATCATATCGTCACCTCATTCGTTGAAGTCGCGGCAGTCGTCACTTCCAAGGTCGATTTATAGTTCACCGTCCCTATCAAGATTTCATTGTCCATAATGTCGGTCTCCATAGTCGAGGGCCAAGCGGTCGAGTAGGTGGCGACAGATGAGTCCTCCTCGAGATCGATCGTGCTGGTGCTAATCCGTTCCTCGACCACTCTGTGACCTCGTCCTTCGACGGATGGATTCGTAGATTGATCAATCGCGGGCTGAACAATTAATGACAGGCCCTCGTAAATCGTTTAGGATCTCTTCACAAAGGGATTTTTTTTTCTTATAAAACTCTATGCGCGCTTTAAAGCCTATTCGTAATTCGATCGGCCAAGTCAATGTAACGATTTCGTCTAGCTTGCGTTTAATCGGGCAGCTCCAATTAAGTTGAATACTTAATTTTTGTCAATATTGGAATAATGTACGGATATTGGTAATGCAAAGTAAACGCTTTATAAATTATTTAAATTATTAAAAAACTCTGAAAGTATTGTTGTTATTAAAAAAACATTTTGTTTTTATGTTAAAAACGATCCTTGTAAAAATTTTTATGTTAAATTTGTAAGATATTCGAGTGTTTAATATAATGTGATTGTATTATTTTCTGTAAAATTGATATTCAACATTTCTTATAATTAGTGTTAAAATAACACAATTTATGAGTAAGTGAACAAATAACATAAAAATAATGTATTTAAAAAGTTTTAAGATAAATAAATAAAAAATGTATTTATCTGTTAATTTAACGTATTATAAATGTTAATTTTACTGAAGAAATTTGCTTCCAAATTGTGTAAATGTTACCTTTTTGTGTAAATTTTTTACGTAATATTTGTGTTATCTTATAACATATTTATCTTGTGCTAACTTAACATAAAAATTTGAATGGATACGTGAAATGTGTTGAATTTAACACAAATTTTTTCCAACTGTGTGTGCGTATACAATGTACCATAAACTAATAATGCAGAATTTTAATAAATGTGTAACAGTGTTGAAAGTAAATAAAAAAAGTAAAATTTTTTTTCAGTTTTATTAGAGATAGAAAAATAAAAAAAGATTTTTAATTTAAGAAATTAAATTAGATATATAAAAATTGTTATGTGTCTAAAAAAATTTAAACTTTATAAATATTTTTATAAGATTTGTTATAGATGAAAGATAATTACAAAGATAATAAGCTTCCTTTAATTCTGTGGACTTCTAGGAACCATCAGATTCTGTTATCTCTTTAATAGTATTGATGCGCGATTGACGCGCTCGTTCAAGAATCCAAGTTTGTGACGAATCCTCTGAATCCGCCACAGTTGTTTCCACTGTCTGAGTAGATTCTCGTGTATCTCGCGAGATTCGAATTCTCCATAAGTGGTATTCTGTACTAACGACGCTACCCATTAATAATAACGCAACACATCCATAATAGATACGTCGTCGCCCGATCGGAAACTCGCATCGTGCTACGTGATCCAATAAGGTATGCTTCTCATTCCAAATTCCTGAACTAAGTCGAATGTCTAACGCGTTTATAATCAATGTTTCGGGTAGATTTCATTGATTAAATTCCGCCGACTACATAAATCACCTCCCCTTAACTTCGATCCCATGAGCATGTTCCTACTATTTGGTAACTTTGGGATTTAGGATAGCAAGCTTATTTAGAGCAGTTAGAACTATTTAGCAGAATTCGCTAAAAAGACGATGCGATAATTTACGCTTCTAAGTGTCGTTCTTAAGAATAAATGTATAAAAAGAAGAGGAAACGTACGAAAAAGTTGGTCTCCTTGCGGAATTTAGCGTAGTCCTTGCTGACGAAGGCGTAGGATGCGTAGTTTTGGGTAGCCTTAACTTCGATGCTGCCGCCTGGAATGTTTAATTTCTCAGTTTTTTATTAGCATTCAAGAAAGAATATTTGTACGTGTATGTGTGAATGTGTGTGCGTGATAATTCAGCTCGTGAAAAAAACTGAGAGGATTACTTTTAGGACAAACCCAACCCGACTTGTGTTTCTCTTATCAAAATGTTTTAAAAAGTATATTAATAAGGCGTATATTAATTATATAATAAACAATTTTAATTAAAAATTACAATATAAAAATTATATTGGACAATATATAGACATAAGCAACCTTGAACATTAACTACACTATCGTGATGAATTTTAAATAGAAACGAATCTGTATAATACAAGCTATGCAACACAGCCTGGCTTATTAAGTTTGATTCTCTTTTTGTGTTAAATTTAAATTTTAAATTATAATGCACATATCTCATTTCCAATTATTTCCTCTTTATTATTAAATTTTGAAAAAAATAAAGAAATTAAATATTAAAGGGGATTAACCGAGCAAATATTAATGTATAGAACAGATATTTCACATTGATCAAATTAATAATGACTAACAGTAAGAATACAGAATGGCTGAGCGATTCACATAAATCCGAAAACGAAATATTTATCAAAATAGTATAAAGTTAAACCACGTCATGTATTTTTTTTTAACTAAAAGCGAAAATATCAGCAGCATTTGTTAGTAGATAAAAACGTGCTTTTAAGTCGATGTTTGCAGGTCATTGACTGATTTTCGTTCGGTAGATGCATATTCCTATCAGCCACGATATTAATATCGATGGCTATCGCGCTCACAGAGCTGCCATATTGACTGTATCGAATAAACGCTCTCGCGCGGAAATTAAATCCTCTTTTAATTCGCAGATGTTTCTCGCTTCCAAGAATCGGCGTGTTTAATTCGCTTACGCGCGCGCAAAGCCGGGCAAAATATTTTATTTTCCTTTCCCTGCGAGCTGCTAGATGAAATATTTCCAAACCCGAAAACGAGACGTTTGTTTTGTTGACGATAGCATTCGTTATTCCCTCGCATCGGCATGCATCAAATAAATATTTTCGCTTTCGGTAAAATATTTTTCAGCCAAACCTTAACCGAGCGAGACTCAATTCAACGTCGAGCGATCGACTTCCATTACCATAGTCATATATAGTTTTATTGTGCATCGCACAATAAAATTAATATTTCAAAAATATACCTACATATGAAAGAAAAGGATTCAATTTCTTATTGAACAAAAAAACGATAGCTTCTAAATATACTCGACTAAAAATAGAGAATTTAAAAACTTGAGGCTCAAAGGAAATAAAGAATTAACTTCAACAAAATTAAAAAATAATCGCGTAATAGAGATATGCAGATTTGGAAATACCGCGATTTAAGAATATAGTGAGAATAGTATCGGTAAAAAAAATTATTTTCATTCAAATTAAATAATTTCTATTATAATTTTTTTGTTTGTGTTTATTCTTTTTTTTAATTTTTTCATTGTATATTTTCTAATAATATTTTACAAAAAGCATCACGACGTTAACAGTCTCGTATTTCGATATTTTCCAGAATCGCGTTTTTTTCCTCTTCCAATATTTAATAATGGTCTGAAAATGAAAGGCAATATTCCTGACCAAGGAATTTCGCGATTAATTCAGCGGAAAACACAATCCAGGCGTGAACTGGGCCGGGCGGGGCGTAGCGTGGGACAATCCCGAATGCGAATTTGCGTGAAACTCACTGCAGTTGTAGGTGGACGGGCAGCATTGTCCTTCTCGCACGATCGGGCTGCAGCCTTGAAGAGGTGGGGCGCACGCAAGTGGAACGCACCGTATGGCACCCATTGCGCAGAAACAATTGTCGCATGCGGCCTTCCACTCGATGTCGCGAACCATCTCGCCCTCGACGTAAGTGCGCTCGCCCACGCGACATCCTGGACAATCATATGCCGTGAAAATCGTGAAAATGCGAGTGTGTAAATCGCGTCCCTTCCCCCGCGTAATTTCTTCTGCCGCCGCGCGCCGCTCGCACAGAAAATACCCCGTGACGCGGACATCCACGGATATTCGAGGTCCAAATATTCTGCAGATACTCCGTCAATAATATTCAATTCAGTAAAGATTTTTGGAGTTTCGATAGCGCGAAGAAGAAGCAGGAATATGATACAGAGTTGTAGGTATATTGCTGGAATGCGCATTTAAATCTCAGGGAGCACTTTCAATACTGACCTCAATTTTAAGTCTAAGTCCTTCATAGAAATATAATGGATCGCATATTCCTATCTTCGGAAGTTTTCTTGTTTGAGTGGAGCTCAGAGCCGGCTTAAGATATTTTTGGCTCAGGGGCTAATATTAAAACAGACTCCCTTATTATTACTAATAATAACAATGATTTAAATATATACATATTTTATATTTGCTATTTAAAAAACGTGATTGTTCGTTTGACTTTTGTCGTTTCTGCTTAAAAGATACAAGACAATTCTGAATACTGAAAAATAAACACACAAAAATAATTCACATTTTATTGAAATTACGTAGTGGTACTTACAACTTTTTTTCCTGATTTATTGTACGCAAATTTATTGATGAAATCATTAAAATCAAGATTTCTCAGCAGTTCGCTTTCTATAGCTAATAATGCCAAATGTCGATGGTCTAATATTAATCATTGTGAATCGATATTTATTTTCTATTATTGAAATTAAAAATTTTAAGCTTATAAGGGACCCCCTAGAAAGATGGGGTCTGGGGCTACAGCTCCCTTAGCTCCCCCTTAAACCGACACTAGTGGAGTTATACGCTCTTGAAGGTACCTAAAGGATAACTTGGCGTAACGTTGCTCTTTCGATAGTCATGTTACTCATGTTAGCCTGCAGTAATAGCCTCGTCCTGGTGGCGAGCGGTGACCTCGAGGATGTTTGTTCGCCCGGGAGAATTAACGAACCGCCGTGGTTCGAATCGTTATTTACCGACTCCACGGTCAGTCATCGCAACAGCAAGACCGCCGCACCCACCTGATGGGAGGGGTGGTTTCCCGGTGGCACCCGTTTATAAAATTAAGCCGTCCCCGAATGTCCCGGTAGCCAGTGACAGCCGTGGCGTCGTCGTAGGGACCGAAGCTTAAGCTCGGCTTAAATTTAAGCGGCCGCGGTGAAACCGGGCGTTAAATGAACGGCAACCTCGGCTATCCGAACCACCGGCGCCGCCGCTCGCAGTTTCCCTCCGGAGCAAAGTGTCGGGAGGTACCTACTGACTCTTCTTTATCGCGTTACACGTTCCTCTATAGCTGTCGGACCCCATAACGAGAGAAGCCAGAGACGATTTCTTCGGTGCTCGCCCCGAAGGGATATCGGCCGCGCTCTCATGTACATACAGCTGGGTATACCGAGATCGCACATTTTTCCCCGAACCGCCGCAAATCGATTGAGAAAAAGAATCGAGAGCTTCGAGATGCCGAGTTAATTATTTTTTTAACGATTTAAAATTAAAGTAAATAAGAAAAATTTAATTCAAAAATTTTGATTTAAACTAGATTTTACTATAAAATGAATTTAGAAAAATATTTTTAGAATCTTAATTTATTAGGTTATATCTTTTCTTAATTTATTATGCACATTATGAAAACATTTTGTATCTGTGTTTAAAATTAGTCCTTGTTAAAATTTTTATGTTAAATTTTTAATATCCCAAGCGTTAATTTGATTGTGTTATTTGAATATTTTGTGTTAAATTGATATTCATTATTTCTTAGTGTTAAAATAACACAATCTATGAGTAAGTGAACAAATAACACAAAAATAATATAGTTTAAAACATAAATAGTTGAAAAGTCTATGATAAATAAATAAAATGTACGTGTTAATTTAACAAAGTGTAAATTTTACAGAAATAAATAAAATTGAGATGTTAAGTTTGTAAAAGAATCTAATCAAGGATTAAATATTTTTCAAATGTTTTGCAATTTCGTGTGTACTCTTGCTTTAAAATATATTTACATACGTTACTTCAAATAGAGTACATCATTACGATATTTTCTTGTAACTTACAGCTTAAACCACGGGGCGATGAGACCGAGCATTAAATGAACCTCGTCGGCTATCTGAAGGTAGAATCCTTGTGGAGCAAGTGTCGCGGGGTGATATAACGTCAGCAGTAACTCTTCGTTATTAAGTTACACATTTCATCACAACTTTCGAGAGCGTGCTTCGGCGGAGAGCTTTAGTCGCGCGGCGGTAAATTTTGGAATAATCCCTAATAGCCCCGATTTTCTTGAAGTTTTCTACTCTCACGGGTGAACTTTAATAAGTGACTTGCTCATACACGATGGCAATGTATGTAAAACAATCTCCGTTTGTTCGCTGTATCAACATATATCAACGTTACGCTATCTCTATTAGCGTTCAATTTGTACTTACATTGAAAAAGCTTCGTTCACTCTCGCGCAGAAAGAAACTCCTGACTTGTCAATAGAAATTGAAAGATGTTTTCTATCTAATATCCTTCGCGTTAATTAATCAAAGTATTAATAATATTTTATAGATTTTTACATCCCTTACGTTCCACTGGAGTTTCATTAGAATTATCAAAAGCTGCAGGCTAAACTGCACTTCTGCGCAACAGCACGAAGCTTTCGATCGCGCTATCGAGTTTCCAGGAAATTTCTCGACTGGCGGCGACTCCGCTTTCTCGAATTCAGTTAAGCGGACTAGCTCGTAAATGACAACAATTTGAACTCACCGTTTCCCGATACCGGCGCCATTGTGGACGGATGGTGGTCTTGAAAAGAAATAAGGAGGGCCATTGGTAAGGTACTTTAAGTAACTCGCGACGTCGCCGTGATAAAAGTACACTCACGGGTGCAGTTATAGGCGACCGGGCAGCAGGAATGGGGCGCGTACAGCGGGGTGCATCCCGGTAGAGGCAGCAGGCACTTGGGTCGGAGGCATCTCCTCGAGCCGGATATGCAGTAGCAATACTCGCATCGGCGCGAACCCATCATCGCCGACCCCGAGCCATATCGAATCCCGTCGTGCAGACATCCTAATATATTTGAAATTCATTTTGAATCCATTATTTATTTTACACTGCAATTAATCTGCGAATAGTCACTTATATAAATAGTTTCTTATTGTATAAACGAGTAATTTTTATACCCCAATTAGAATCACCATTATTACTACGTATTGTATATGGTATTGATTGTTTTACAATTTATATACATGTACGTATATATGTATATATAATTGCCCACAATTTATTAGTATTTAAGATTATTATGTTATAGATTTATTTAATATTTTGGAAAGAAAAAAAGAAAGGAAAAATAAAAATATATAGATCAGTAAAGAAAACTGCTGTGACTGAGCTTCATATTTTTTCGCTGCCGAGTTATAAAAACAACTTCCAGATGACTATTCCCATGTTAAAAAGATGGACGAAGGTTTCGTAAAAACTTAAGTCGACGTAAAAATTTAAGACGTTGTTACATGCTTCCAAAAAAAAAACGAAAAAAATACGAAGCAAGGTACATAATTTTTGCACCTCAACCTTTTAATTATAATATCTTGTATCTTATTTTTTTCATGATTCCCGATTTCGTTACGTTAGCTCGTATCTCTGGATACTACCGTATTTCTTCATAATGTAATATTTGTTACTATCCTTCTAGTATTATGAAGTAATATTTGTTACTGCTTTTTATCTGTTACTTATAGATATCGTTTTATCTAATGTCGTATGTTTGTTTCAAATAGAACGGGAAGATCTATATACAATAGTTAATCTTTAATTGCAATCGAGCACTGAATGGAGTTTTTGGAATTTACGTTAAATTGCTCTCGTTAAGATCGTTTCTGTCCGTGAGATAGTACGTGAGCTTCGTCGAACTTCGGCGAAGTTTCTTGGTGCTCGATAATTTATTTAACAATGCTTTCAAGAACGACACAGGCTCTATATATTTATAAAGTAACGTAAAAGGTTGTTGTTTCAAGGGAAAATACAAGCGACGAATGCTATTGCGTTTTAATATTTAATATATTTAATTCTGTTCTCAACTTGGAAATTTAGTTTTATAAACAGATTCCCTAAACTCTCCACAACTTTCAAGAGAAACGTTTAAATTAATTTACTTACAATTAGTCGAATAAAAAAAAATATGATAATGTTAAATAGAAAATCCAAATTAATAAATTATAGAATAATCATTTTATTGTTATTAAAGATCAATGAAATTAAAGCAATTTGCAATCGAATTAATTGTATAACGTCGCTTAACTGTAATATATACCTATAATGTACATGTAAAATTTCATTTTATTATTGCAAATGAAAACAATGTTACGGTAAAAATATTACGGTATACCCGAGTCGAAATAAAGTGTAGTACCGTGTAGAAATGAAAGAATGCACAGGCATAAACCTTGCAGCAACAAAGAAATCCTGAATTAATTTAAAATTACGTTCGTTTCAGCAGTAACGAGCCATCTTAACCCCTTCTGTGTTATGCCCGAGTTTAGCCGAGTGTTCTTCTCTACCTTCCTCAATTTATTTACCCAAGTTTACTCGAGTGTAACGAGGCTCATTTATTTACCGCAGAGGTAGTCCAGACGCTCTTTTCAGAGAGACGGAGTTAGAATGGAAATTATTAAAAATAATAGCGCGCTGCTAATTTAATCCGGAGTACAGTCGCAATGATATAATACAGTCGCTCGAGAAGAGAAAACGAATCAATTTTTCAACGTTTAAGTAACTGATATTAAAAATAATAAATTACCTGCTATGGAACAAGATTTACGTCATATATCGATCGATGTCATATTGTCATTTTATCGGATAAGTGCAGTGTAGCGGAAAAAGGACAATTATTTGTACAATATAGCGATACATTACTGGGAAGAACAAATAACAAAGTACAAAATCAACAAAATAGAAATACCTTCCGTACGTGAGTGCTGAGCATGCTTCGCCTCGTCCTCAGCTTCCATGTTCGTTTGTACACTGGCTCTCCGCAACATATTCTCGACGTCGCCTGTAAGTCAGATAATAAATTTAAACTCTAGCCACGATTAACCCTTTAATCTGCTTTACGACGAAGCCGAAACTTTTATACGTTTTAGACAAACTTTATAAAAGGAACAAGGCGGGTGTGCAGATACACACCTCCTACCTAACTAAGCAAAAATAATAATTATATATTTTTAATATCAATCAATCACATTATAATTTACGCAATTTAATTTTTTAATTTATGGAAAGTATTTCCAAACATACGTGGATTACGTGTGTGTGTGTGTGTGTGTGTGTGCGCGCGTGCGTGCGTGCGTGCGTGCGTGCGTGCGTGCGTGTGTACATACACACATACCCAATATCCCGAAATTCGCAAATTAAAATATAGCAAGAAAGTATTTGAAAAATTAAGTAAAAAAGTTATTTGTGTAGTCGCAAATGTAATTGAAACAGGGAAAAGTCACGTAACGCGATATTCCGAAAATATTGCTAAGCGCGGATCCATAGTAATGAGTTATTAGAAAAATGAATATCGAAAAGGAAATCAGAGACTGATTGCGAGTTGCGAGCCGTTAAGACGTGTACGAATTATTAATAAATAATTATTGCACATAAACTTGAGTTGTTTCGTCTATATTTGTAAATTTTTATTTTAAGCAGCAGTTTTTTTGAGATATAATGCTTTAAATTTAGTCAATTATAGATTAGTATGCGCGTGAAATTCGCGACCATTAACACTATCGACCTAACTCGACATTTGTTCACGGGCATATTTCCGTTTAACCATAATTTATAATTGGCTAAATTTAAACTCTTATATCTCAAAAACTACTGTTTAAAATGAAAATTTACAAATAACTTTTTTACTTAATTTTTCAAAGACCTTGCTATGATATTTTGATTTGCGAATTTCGGGACACCCTGTATATATGTAAACCTCGTATTGTAATGTATCTTTATATTTTCCATTTTGCGTAAATTATTGCAATCGTTTGATCGTTTGATATTAAAAATATATAATTATTATGCATGTATTGGCATAATTTCCCTTTCCCGGGTTCCCTTCGTAAAGGCCTTTCGATCCTCCTGTCGACAACGCAAGCGAGTTGTATATTGACAAGATATAGATTAATCAAAAGGATATCACATCGTACTAACGTGATTCGCCGCATACCAGCTCGGCGCAACACACGTTCCCGACCGGCGAACGAACGTGACAGCCGGGCGGTGGTGGATTCGGCAAACGCGGGCATACCCGGAGCCGGCATCTCAATGCGCCCTCGGTGCACCGGCACTGCAGACAGGGCTCGGACGTACCCACCGCCGTTCCTTCCTGATATCGGCGACCCTCGTATCTGCATCCTGCAATCGCGAGTAAATTTCTCGTTACGTAACAAAACTTTAATTATAGTGTCGGGCCGGGTTATCGAAACTCGCGGAAGTATACACGCGGTGTCTCGCGCGGCGCAATAACGTGCCCGGAATTTCGGAGTGTTACGCTCCCGAGATTACACACTCATGTGCGCGTTCGTATACCTACAGCAAAAATTATAAATTCTTTAAAACAATTTTTCTACACGCGCATATGACAGACATAAGTATGTAATAAATATGTATGTACAAAATATATATATATATATATATATATATATATATATATATAATATTACACGTACGTGAAAAAATTTTAAAATATTTTTCTCTCTTATTTTTATGTTTATGTTTTTCGTACATTATTTTTTTATGTAGTAAATTTAAAATCTCATATTTTCATGTAAATCTTTAATCTCAACGTTAAAAAACAAACGATTTAAATTATATTATACTGCTTCGCAAATGCGTCAGCAAAGTTTAATTAAGAATGTTAATGATAAAGTTAAAAACACGGATTTAAATATCTATAGATATCTGTGCAAAAGATAAACAAAAAATTACGATGCAGTTTTCTCTTCCGATACTTATATGTTTTATATATATAAATATATAAATTTGTAATTCGGTAATAACTCGGGTCAAACTGGTTGAACTTGTTATTCGACTTTTTCCTTGGCTCGGTGGTCAAGTCTTGATGTAATGCATTACACAATTCGAGACGGGATACACGGCGATCCGCAGTATACTCTCTATTAACATAGACAAAGCAACGCTTGGTGAGTGTGCTGCGAGCGTACGGCAGGGCCCCAATTAATAAAATCCAATTAGTAGTTAATTAACGCCCGCAGAACTTTCGCGCGCGCGACGCGAGCGCAGTCGCCGAAAGTTACATTGGCGACAGCTAAAACAATTACCGGAAGACCATAATCGCATAGCCGAAGACACGCGTTTAACTTTTCAGTAGAGAGCATTGTCTTTGAAGAAAGCTCTTCCGAAAGAGAATTCAGGAATTACTTGAACGCATATATAATTCAATCTTATCACGCCAAAGTATCAGAAGTATGCGGATGCGTTTTAACTTTTAAGTCGGACAAGGCTCTTCTCAATTTGTTCGAGAAACAGTGACTTGAAAGAGTCGTCTGAAAATTTCTTTTAATTATACTGATTACGAGTAATATAAAAAAGTTGCGAAATGAAAAATAAATATTTTAGTACAGATTTCAATACATACTAGATCGCTATAACTTAGACAGTGAGGAGTGAAGTCACCAATTAATATTATCCGCATTGCAAATGGCCAAGTTTGGAAAGAAACTCGTTACTTGTAACGAAGTTACAGTTACAGTTTTTTTTTTTTTAATAACTGTAACTAATTAACTTCGTTACTTTCTTCTCATGTGTAACTGTAACTTAACTTAATTAGATTTTTTAGTTTTAGTAACTAATTTAATAGTTACTTTTACAGTTACTTTATATATGTCAAATCGTCACTTTCATGGATCAAAATTATGCAACACTTTCGCTCAATCACCTAATCGTAATGTTAATTATTATATAATTATGCGAAATATTTAAATGCTCATATTTAAATACGCGCATTACTTTTTTAAATAAAATTATATAATATGTAAATGTAAACCAGCCTTTTTTTATAATGTTAATGCTGTTCTATTAAAAGTAACTAAAAAGTAACAATTCGTTACTCTTTGAGTAACTTTAACTGTAACATGTTACTTTTCAGAATCGGTAACTTGTAACGATAACTAGTTACTTTCTGAGAAACACAAACTGTAACTGTAACCAGTTATTATACTTTTACAAAGTAACTTCCCCAACCCTGCAAATGGCTAATACTTCCGTTAAACACTCATGAATATGTTTCATATATTTACATCATGTCATATTGTCACATATCAATGTTACATATGTCATAAGTCATTAGTGTTATATTGTGTATTTTAAGAAACAGATTTAACAGTGTAAAAAAAAGATATATTAAAGACATATGTTAAAAATATATTAAAGAGTTTTTAAATGTCACAAATATTGTAATAATATTCGATGATCAGGTTTACATCACGTAAATGTAAATTTGTTAATATTCTATATATTTGACAATACAATTTAGCTATTCTATCTAACTTTATTTTAAAATTTTATTTTTATTATATATTATATAACAATCAAAATTATGTGACAAATTTAAAGTTAATTATGTTTTATTTTTTTATTTCATATGTCTTAAAAGAATGCACTATGAAGTACGATTTTTCCATGTCACAAATGACAGCATATCCTTCAATTTGTCTTATCCCCATCAAGGTGTAAATTCATAAGACGCTCGTTGTAGCATTAGGATCATGGACAGAGAAAAATTTAAGCAGTAAGACGTATAAGCAGTAAAGAAACCAACATGTTGGATCTTTGGTAGTTTGTTTGACTTCGACGCTAGTGTAAAAAAAAAAGAAGTTGGATTTTCTCAGCTTCAGCGTTTACAAAGGTTGTTGTTGTTTTGTTCTAAACATTTTAGAAACGAATGATACGATTGATGTTAAACTTGATGTTGCCGCTTTTCGTGCAAACGAACTATGATCACGTAATTTGGACGCTAAAAATGAGCGTCGAAATTACGTGATCATAGTTCGTCAGCATGAAAAGGCACCTTCACGTAAATTAGCGATCTATAGTATAGTATAGAAATTTGTGCATATTAATTTCCGCTTATTGTAATTTAGATAACCATGACAGTACTTTCGACTATATAGCGCATGGGAGAGAAATGACGATTTTAACCGTGACGATTTGGTCCGATCGAAACGAAACGCGTGGAAAATACTGAAAGGCCCTACTTCAATTCCGAGCGCGTACGCCAAAACGTCGAAAAAATCGCTACAACACGGACTTAAGCTGCGGAAATATTTGCACGCTCGGCCGTGAGCGACGTTCGGCCCTTCCGAAAATGGAATTTTCAATATAAATTCCGCGTGCACCTCGCGACACGAAGGTGCCCGAGGGTTTTTTGGTCGAGGATTGACACTGATTTCATCCTGCGATATCGAGTAGCTAGTAAGCGATGTTAAAACGAGCGACATTTAATCTATATAGAACTTTCCGGGAAGGAGGACGGGCGGATGTGTTTTGTGCAATCGATTAACTTGAAACACGTTCGCTGCAGAATATGATGGCCACTTATGATAGCGATTCGCTGGAAATTCACGAGAGCATCGTAGAACCCAAAATTGCTATCATCAACCGAGACTGCATGGTCCCGAAAGCTTGCAATTACTATGGCAATATACTTTTGCATTTGCACATTTGTTGTGTCTGATGGACATAATAAATCGTACAGTCTCTTTGAAAGAAAAAGATTACAGCCAAAGAGCTATTGTATGCGAGATAAGAAAATAAAATGATTTGAATAAAAATTAAATATTAAAATTAAACTTAAACAGCACAAATAAACGAAAAGAATCTTCGATCGATGCGAATCTTAGTATCTAATAATATTTCTGCGTAAATTTATACACTTTGTGCAGTTAGCATGTACTGGAAAATGTATACATATAAATTCACGTAGAAGTTATTAGAAACATTATTAGGGACGATTAATTCAATTATTTGATTATTATTGACGATTTATTCAATTATTATTGTAAATGTTAATACCTTCTTATAGCTTATGAAATATAAGTTTGACACTATTTAAAAAAATAGAAAATTATTTCTTTAATATAAAAAATTGTATTAATTAAAAAATAAAATTGGATAACTGTTTAATCCTCTTAAAACTTGAAATATTATAATAACAGCTCTTAACTCGACGGTCTCAAAGTCAATTTGCGCCTGGAGACACTATAAGTATAATCCGGTTGTGTGACTGCTATTATTCCGCCATTAAAGCGTACGCATCGCGAATACACATGCCGAGGACAAGAAACGTGTCTAATAACCAACTCCACCATCCTCTCGCTTACATATTGGCACCTTTACTCTCTCCCTCGTCGCAACTCTCGAGCAGTATAACGCGATGGATGCAGCGGGCGATGTTAGAGCTGTCATTAGTCCCGGGAACGTAAGTACGGCACCGCCGCGCCGAGGGCCGCACGTATAGTAAAGGACACTCCAGGCTTGGCCAGAGGAGCTCGCGCCAAGCGAGAAACAAGCCAAGTTAGTTAATGGCGCAAAACCGGAAGTCCTCCTCGCCGCGCCAGTGCGCCCGGAGAGAGAGAGAGGACACCTAGCTCTCTCGCCGGGAGGATTTTAATCCCGCTACATTGGACAAGGAGATCCTGCAGCGCGAAGATTTTGTTACGAGCACTTCTCAGCGAACGTGAGCGTCATTCCGCCAGGACGACGTGCAGGAGCGACTGTAAGCCGCCTCTTGCGAGCAAGTGTGAGTTTCTGCAGATTTCATTAGCGCACGGCATACACGTATCGTGACGTCCGTTGAAATACCGGTTGACATATACGTACATTAGCGCCGTTAGCTGTTATTATCCCGCTTCCTGCTAATGGAAAGTATTATTAGACCTAAGTTGAAGACACGAGAAATAATTGATTTAAAATTAAGAGGGCGTAAAAAGTAAATTCGTCAGTTCTCCTTCACGCTTCTAATCTCTTTCATTTTATAATTTACAATTTAAGGACAAAACTGCATCGCTATGCCTTGTATTGGCTGTTCAAGTCAATCTACTAATTCTTTTTTCATGTATTATGTTGAGTATTATTTATATTTATATTCATATAAATTTCTATATATGTATAATCTTTTTAATAATTTTAAAACGTCTTCAGAATTTTTATATCAAAAATATAAATAATTTTTTTACTAAAGCTCGCGTTTTTATTTCTCTACTAGATAATTTGATTTTGAAGGTACGATATATTTTTAATATTTTTAATCGTCCCCGAGCAAAGGTTCGTCCATTTCGGAGCACGAGAGAAAATCGTGAGAGTCACCGGCATCACTATCGTGGCATCTCATCGCC